GTATTATTGTAACCAACAAGACAAATTAAGTCATATATATGGATTTAATTATGATATCAGGATGATCCAGGTGTCAAAATGTAGCTTTTAAAGACAAGAATCTGAAAATGTAATTAGGTCATTTTGACCTAATTTGACTTAATCCTCATTTCGATACGATGGGTCACATTTATTTCAGTTAAAAACTTGTTTTTTACCTTCATTGTTGACGATGATGATTCCCTGAACACCTTTCTGACTCTGAATCCTCTTCAGGGTTTCCTCCACTTCAGCCTGAAACAACGACAGCATTTCATTTAACCCAAACAACCAAGTCAAACCACATTAAACAGGAACTGTAACTGTTTTAAATCTGCTCAGCTGCCTGACAACGCCCGAGCAGCTTCACCCTGTTAGCATCAGAACAGAGGCTCCATAAAAACATTCATGTTCTCAGTCACCGTGAAAACATGAAAAAAACTGATTTAATAAAACAAAAATGATTTCTTCTCACCATTTTAACCTTTAAAAGAACAAACAAAACGCCTCTTTAAGCTCCGCGGAACGAGCAGCTAACTGCGAAGTTTTGTTTCTAAGAGGAAACAACTTCCGGGTCAAACGTCACAGTGGTGCGTTCAAAGTCCCAGAAAAATGTGGGACTTCTTCCATCTGAAAACGGAAATACAAGTGAAGCAAGCTGATAAATTGTAATGTCACGTTTTAAATCTAAAGGTAACAATAACTTTTACTCGTTTTTAAAGTTTTGATTAAAATACCTCTCTTTTACACAACTAACTGGCTGAACTCCAGATGTTCATCTTCCCCACCTCCAGGGGGCGCGATGATCCTGCTGTCAGACTCTGACGGAGGGGTGTTGTGCCACGAGAAGTACCCCTGCTGAGAAAAACACCCAGTTTTTTATTCCAATCAGTACAGGAGGTACAATGTAAGATAAAACAGAATGACTGAGCTAACAGCTTGTTTGATGAAAAATCCATTTCTACAAAATTCAAGTTAAAACAAAACAAAATGAAATAAGCGTCAAAAATTATGCATAAAAAGAAAATAACAGAACACAAATAAAACAATGAGAGGTCTAGTTCTATGAATTTACTTAATTTTACAGCAGATTTTCCTTTGATGTAATTTAAAGCTTTTTTGAATTGCAAAAATTCATTAAAATAAACACAAAAAAGGGCTTAGTTTACAAAAATTTACATCTGTGGATATATTGCTTGGCTAGAATTATACAAGTATTATAAAATATATTTTTTAATTTTTTTTCAGAAATATTCTCTATTTGACATCCTTATATGTCACAATAGTTGCTTGTGTGTCAAATGTCAAAATCCAAGTCTGAAATAAGCTCCAAAAAGTTCTTGTGTAAAGAAAAACACCTGTTTGCAGAAACAAGTCGAACCTAAATGTACCGCAGGATCAAATACATTATATTATATTATATTATTTAACTTTATGTGCAGGACTTTCTAATCACACCTAGAATGTTCAAAAACATAGTTTTTACCCAACATGTTATTATTAATATTTTTACAAACACTTATTATAACAAAAATAATGAGAAAATAGACTTTTGTATCATTAAAACAGGTTCTATAATTCTGAAAACACGTATTTTCTTCATTATGATCCTAACAAGAGAAAGCTTGGAGGGGGCGGAGCCACGGGGCGGAGCTGCAGAGGTAACAAAGTTGGACACAACACCGCCTCACTCGCTGCTGCTGTGGCAAGTTCCAGCTAGCAGGCAGCCGGATCAGGTTGGTCCAGTCGCAGTACCTTCAGTCCCGGTAGAGTCGGGTGTCTCTTTCCGGTGTCCGACGGGAGGATACTTTAGTTGCCGTGTGTGTGATGGAACTGGACAAAATGGACGAAAACGACTGGAAATACCACGGAGAGGGAAACAAGAGCCTGGTGGTCTCTCACGTTCAGGTGACACAGCTAACATGAAGCTAATCCTGTCGTTAGGAAGCTAGTTACTCCAGCCGGTGGAAAAGATTGTTACATCACAACAACAGCGCTTTAAATCACAGCTTTTAATAAAAGTTTAGATTTGGATATTTGTTAAATCAGATTCTGCAGGTTTATGAGTTGTTTTAAGGTAGAAACAAGTAAAAACTGTCAGGCTGAGCGAGCTAACTTAGCATCTTTTAGTTTCCACCCCGATCCAACAAGGATTTAAACCAGGGCCGCTGTGAGCCGAGTCTGCCGGAGACTTAACCCCGAAACAAAACAAAAAGTTATTTTTCTATTTATTACTGACTCAGTTTGAGCTTTCTGCGGTTTAACAGCTCTGAAAAAGTGACAGTTACTGTTTGACAATTGTGTCATTGAGCAACAACCAAGACATATGGTCTATGAGTCACAGCAGGAGTGTTGAAACCAGTTTACATAAAGTCTCAGGAGTTTAACCAGTTTACACCCAGTCTGAAGGGTTTGAACCAGTTTACAACCAGTCTGAAGAGCTTAAACCATTTTACATAAAGTCGGAAGAGTTTAAACCAGTTTACATAAAGTCTCAGGAGTTTAACCAGTTTAAACCCAGTCTGAAGGGTTTGAACCAGTTTACATCCAGTCTGAAGAGTTTAAACCAGTTTACACCCAGTCTGAAGGTTTTAAACCAGTTTCCAACCAGTCTGAAGAGCTTAAACTAGTTTACATAAAGTCTCAGGAGTTTAACCAGTTTACACCCAGTCTGAAGGGTTTGAACCAGTTTACAACCAGTCTGAAGAGCTTAAACAATTTTACATAAAGTCGGAAGAGTTTAAACCAGTTTACATAAAGTCTCAGGAGTTTAATCCAGTTTACACCCAGTCTGAAGAGCTTAAACCAGTTTACATCCAGTCTGAAGACTTTAAACCAGTTTACACTCAGTCTGAAGAGTTTAAACCAGTTTACACCCAGTTTGAAGGGTTTAAACCAGTTTACAACCAGTCTGAAGAGTTTAACCAGTTTACATCCATTCTGAAGGGTTTAAACCAGTTTACATCCAGTCTGAAGGGTTTAAACCAGTTTACATCCAGTCTGAAGGGTTTAAACCAGTTTACATCCAGTCTGAAGAGTTTAAACCAGTTTACACTCAGTCTGAAGAGTTTAAACCAGTTTACACCCAGTTTGAAGGGTTTAAACCAGTTTACAACCAGTCTGAAGAGCTTAAACCAGTTTACAACCAGTCTGAAGAGTTTAACCAGTTTACATCCAGTCTGAAGGGTTTAAACCAGTTTACATAAAGTCTCAGGAGTTTAATCCAGTTTACACCCAGTCTGAAGAGTTTAAACCAGTTTACATTCAGCCTGAAGAGTTTAAACCAGTTTACATAAAGTCTGAAGAGTTTAAACCAGTTTACATAGAGTTTAACCAGTTTACACCCAGTCTGAAGGGTTTAAACCAGTTTACAACCAGTCTGAAGAGCTTAAACCAGTTTACATAAAGTCTGAAGAGTTTAATCCAGTTTACACAAAGTCTCAGGAGTTTAACCAGTTTACAACCAGTCTGAAGAGCTTAAACCAGTTTACATAAAGTCTCAGGAGTTTAACCAGTTTACACCCAGTCTGAAGAGCTTAAACCAGTTTACACCCAGTCTGAAGAGCTTAAACCAGTTTACATCCAGTCTGAAGAGTTTAAACCAGTTTACATCCAGTCTGAAGAGCTTAAACCAGTTTACATCCAGTCTGAAGAGTTTAGACCAGTTTACACTCAGTCTGAAGTTTAAACCAGTTTACATCCAGTCTGAAGGGTTTAAACCAGTTTACATCTGGTCTTAAATATAGCATCTACTCGTTCAACTGGACCGGATGTTCTGGAAGTATGAAGTTATAGAAAATAATAAAACTAAACTTTTAAAAGTTTTACGTGATTTATATTTCATGGCAGGTGTGTAGGACTACAGCTCTGCTTCTTGGACCGGACCGGTCCAGATTCTGGGTCGTCAATAGTTTAGTTTCTCAACTTTTCTTCTGGACTTTAAGTTCTGCTTTAATACTGACTCAGTTCTTCAGGTCAGCTGTGTCGGAGCAGAAGACAAGTGTTCGGTAGATGTTTTAAATTGTTTTAAATAATTGTTTGAAATAATTTTCACAAACATTTTTTCCAACCAATGTGACAGAACTTTTTGTAATTAGTCCCTGAACACTGGTCTCCAGTTTTGTTCAAATAAGAAGTTCTGTGTGAGGTTCTGGTTCTGGTTCTGGTTCACATGGATGAAGCTGAACATGAAGTGGGTCTGCATGAAGACTTTATTAAAACCAGCCTGACTCCAGAGTTCAGGTACTGGTCCAGGTCTGTGCAGATCTCCAGGTTCATTCATCAGAGCTTCTGAACATCTTACATTTAATCATTAAAGAACAAACTCCTTCCTGTGTTTAAATAAGTGTGAAAAACAGAAAAACTAATAAAAGTTTAGAGTTAAATCTCTGATCTGATCCTGACAGACCTGTCTCCTCTCACAGCTCTCCAGAGTTCTACGTTTGCTCAAATACCCAGCAGAGGACTCTGAGAACCCCCCACAGGTGAGTCTGAGACCACAGACCGAGCCGGGTCTTACAGAACCTCATGTAAGTAACTGAGTTCTGAAGGCTGGGGGAACCGGACCAACAGACTCTGGACAAACCGGTTCCTGTTGTCTCCACCCAACATTTACATACAGATGTGTTTTACATACCTGGGTCAGATCAGCAGGTCTAAGGTCTACAGACAGAACTGTGCCAAAGTCCTGATCCACAAAACAAGATTTGTTCCCGTTTCTTAGATAAATAAAGCAGTTTGGTTCTGTTGAACCCAGCAGTTAATCTGAGCTGTAAATATTATTTATAACCTGTAATCTTCAGAATTATTAATCCAATAACAGCATTAGAGC